AAATGTCAATGACATTATACATATTGTCATTTTTTCTGAACATATTGAAAATTTAATCATAATTACCTTTTCTCGTAAAGCATCCACTTCCTGTCTACATTTCAGTCCTCGAATATCTAAAGGAAAAATATATATTTACAATTAAAATGAAATTTGATACATAAAATATAATATATCAAGGTATGTAAAATAACAACAAATAATCTAAATTAATAACTATTGAATAATTATAAACACAAATGTTAAATAAAAAATGCATTAATATATTTGATATATAATTGCTTTGAATAGATTACTTATTCAATATATAAAAGAGTTGGAAGCTTTTAACTGATTCACAGACTAATTCAATACATCAACATTATGAAAGCAAAATTTAAAAACAATAACAATTTGAAAACAATTGTAAAACATATTTGCAACATTTCACTTAGTCCTAGGTGCCCCAAGCCATCGTCAAAATTTCAAGTGTTCTTCAAGTTTCTAAATTACATATATTAAATTAAGTCATACTACCGTAGACAAGACTGCGCTAACATTCAAGTTAGCATTTTTTTTAAATCAAGCATTACAATAAATTTAGAAACTTTTGTTATATTTTTACATCATTTACCAGGATTATTAAACAGATTATAGCCTTCAAACAGCCTAATTCTGCTCTGTCCAAATCCATTCTCTCATTTGACACTTAATTCTGACAGTACCCGATCGAAAATAGGTCCGACGCCGGCCTGGATTGCACTATTCCGATGTAACGTCATACCAGGAAAGAAACACATTAATTCAGGCGGTCCTGGTGGAGCGCGTCTCCTTGTTGAAGTATCACTAGACATACTGGACGTACTTGTTTCTGCATCGGATTCTAGATACTAAAAATATTTATGATTAGGTAAATCCAAATGATATGATTTCGCTTTATATTTGGTTCAAATCGTTTTTATTTACCTCAATACTTCTCCAGGCTATAGATGCTATAAGTAATTCATTCCAGGCTGCTCTGAGTAACGTTACTTGATCCTCTAATTGTAAAGCACTAAAATGCGGCATGCACCTTGCGTATTGTACTAACTGATATAACTGTTTATTTGCTTGCTGACACAGACTGGATACAGGGCCCTAGAAATTTTAAACAAACGTTTAATGTAGAATCATTATTCATATTATTTTCTATACTCATTTAACAGTAATTAGAACTTCAGTTCTCTACCCTGAAAGGGCTATTTTTACTTGGAAACATATTTAAGATCTATATTTCCATCGCTACTGCTCGATATCGGGGTTGTCCGTGATGGGGATTCATATATTTAGCGATATAAATATACTAATAATAAATGCAAAGCTGCAATTAATAATGAAATACCTTGTATCTAGGAGGCACCATGGATGAAGGTCCTACTCGCAAATATTGTATCGACAATTCCGGGTCCGTCGCAACATTTCGAGTTTCACTCCTTTGTTCTGCTTCTAAAATTCTTTTACCGTTAAATCACGAACAGAACTTGTCGGGTTGCTTTCTTCATTATTCTACAAAAAAAAATATAAATAGTTATTTCTAATTCTAATTCTAATTACTCTAGAAAAAACGGGACGAAAGGTAGAAGTGCGGGACTGTCCCGGCCAAATAGGAACGTATGATCGCCTATGAATTTTATAGGGATATTGAAGGCACGTATAGTAAAATGCTGTTTGACTTCAACTTATCTGATCTATTGGAATAGATTATTTCTATCTTTCAACTTTTAAAACAAAAAAATGAATTTCACCTTTGCTCCTCGTTGTCGTTCTTCCTGCACGGCTTCTCGTTTCATTCCACAGGCGAGACATTTCTGATATCGACAGAACTGACATCGATTTCTCTGCCTTTTGTCGATCAAACAATTTCTATCCTCTCGACAGGCATACGTCAGATCTTTTCGTACCGTCCGTTTGAAAAATCCCTTACAACCTTCGCAACTGGAAAATATTGAATAAAACGAATTAAAATAAAGAACAAAATAATTTTAAAACAATGAATAATTTTAAAATACAATTATAAATAAATTATATTTATATAATTATGTATGAATCACTAAAGGCCTTGAAAAAAAAATGAATTACAAATATTTCTAGAATTTGTCCATACAATGCTTCTTACAGGGTGAAGATAGTAAGTCAAGTCAAGTAAGACGGATCCAATTTGCACATTGACAATCCTGTTTCAAATGTCATCGACGTTGAATGATTTATTAATGAAATATATTAAAACATGAAGAAGATAATTAGAAGAAGATATGAATTATATTTCATAATATTTTAACGTAGGAATACCGCATTGAGTACCTATGTGAATCCATTTTAATATCAATTACTGTTTTATTTATTAATAAAAGATTCGATAATGCATAGTATTTATATAAATTAGGTATGTTCTGAAGCTACAGAATTTTTACTCGTATAGACAAACGAAGACCTTCAATACTGAACTGCACCATAATAACTGAATTATTTTACAAAATATTATTTTTATTTACACATTAAAGAACCAAAATTGACTTTTTTTAAATATCGCCATTTATATATATATATATATATATATATATATATATATATATTCTTGAATCAATAAGCAAAAACTAGTTATATTTGGCACTAGTATGCAAATATGGTACAATAAAGAATAGAAGAGTTAAAAAAAAAAATCTATTTTTGTGTTATTTACAATCATGGTCTTTATATAGCTTTAGATAATTTGAGCTAACAATAATTTAATATGTGCATTATATTCAATAATTGCAATACAATTTCTAAATAAATACACAATGACAATTTATGAAGCAAATAAAATTCAGAATGACGAACAATTCTGTAAGAATTGAAAAAAAATATTGTCTGATATTTTTATTTATTTCTTTGAATAATATTGTTTTTGTTGTTTACCGTGAAGTAAAATCAGCACATGCATTTTCGACATGTTGATGAAATATTTGTTTTTGTTTTAAAGCTATTCATGGCACTGAGTAGATTCATGAAGACATGTTAACGTGCTAAATAATATATATAATATATATATATATATATATAATATATATCTGTATAAAATTATGTGCGTGTAAGTTGCGTCAGAAAGTTTCAACATTTTTGGCCACTAATTCGATTGCACTACAGAAAATAATTGTGAGAATGATTGTCTGAAGAAAACAAAATTATTAGTACAAATGAGATACACGCCAATATCCTTGAGACTACCCAGACCTTTGGATGTTAAAAATGTTGGTAAAGACTAGTTTTTATCAACATATTCTATGATAATTAAGATCCAAGAACCATATTAAAATGAAAAAAAAAAATGCGTATTACGTTGCAGAGGTGAACATTTTGGCATATTTTACTATTAAATATATATATATATATATATATATATATATATATATATATATATTTGTGTGTATACGGATACAAATTTTCGTCCACGGCTTCGAGAGCACGGATTAACCGACTTGAATGATTCAAAAAGCATTCGATTCCTACTGACAAGGAGCTTACTACTTTTAAGCAAAGACATTAAACACATATGGCAATAATTTTATTTTATGATACAACATCTATAAATGTCGTTATCTCGTATTAAGATCCTTCAAATTATCTTACCTTATACTAAATTTATATGTAACCAACATGGTTACGTCATTCATTAGAATAATGAATACTATTAGAAATTAAATACCAAACGACAGGTATTAATTATAACATAATATTATTAATTGGCTGTAACTGTAATATATAATAATAGTAATAAGCACACTGTAATATATAATAATGAATTTTACATTATAAAATGAATTAGTTCACACGAAAAATGAAAAACTGTGAAAAAATCTTAATCAGATATTACCTGATTACAACAATGCATATCGCTATAACTTGCTTAAAAATATTGTCAGTTCTTATACCAATATCTTCAAATTATTACAATTTGCAGAAAAAATCCAATTACCTGTAAACACCATAATGCTTTCCGGAAGCCCTATCTCCGCATATGGAGCACAGATGTTTTGACCCGCTCAAAGGATGATTTGGAGGGTATGGTGATTTCGTTTGGGCGCCCGTGGCCGTGTTTCCTGATACTATTGTGTGATTTTGACCGAAAGGCGGACTAGCGGGACTGCCGACAACTGCGCCGCCACTGCCGGGCGAAAAGCCGCCGTTCAGTAGCGCAGGATCCGGTTTCATATCCGGCGGTGAGAGCGGTCCCATCGAGCTCATTGACAGCCCTTGGTCGAGGGCCAAGCCTATAATAAAAAAAAAGTTTATTAAAATTATTGTTATATTATTTAATATATCAATATATTACATTATATTTGATATTTATTTATTTATTTATTCATAAGCAAGCCGTAATCAATAATGATAGATATTATTTCAGGCTCTTATCAAGCTTATTCATAATTAATATTAAACGGATAGTAATTTTATAATAATCATAATAGCTGCACAAATTTCGCTTCTGAAAAAAAAGAGCTGAAAAAAAGCATTCGAACATTAAATACAATGTTCATCATCAAGTTCATCATGTTAAAGTCTATTTGACCACCAGTCAAGCTCAAAATTCTTGCACAAGGTTGAAAGTTATACTCATTTAAAACCGTAAAAAAATTTAAATTAATAAAATAGCAACAAAAAAAAACATGGTTGTACAGGCGATCAAATGGTCAGACTGCATAGATAAAGGATAAGGATTATTCAAGAAAATAGTTATTGAAATCAAATTGAGAATATTCAGTAATGTCATAAAAAGCTAATTCTTTAAAAAGTTTAACTAGGGAAGCATGAAATTTTTTGCTATCTAAGTTTCGGATATTGAGTGGACGTTTATTCATAAGCTGAATACCAAGACCGTCGATCGTATTGAAAGAGCTGCCTAATTTATATGTGCGCGCCTTAATAAGTTTGCGTCTAGTGTTGTAGTTTGAAGAGGACGAAGCCATATCAAAAAGTTTCGAATTGTTTTTGATGAAAGATAATGTTACCAGCAGAAAAATGCATGGGACAGTTAGAATATTGTATTTTTGCAATATGGGTCTGCAGGAGGCTTTACTGGGCAAGGAAAAAATTATTCGAATAGCTCTTTTCTGAAGCTTAAATATTTTAATTAGTTCGGATGAAGAACCCCAGAATTGGATGCCGTATGGAACGTGAGAATAAAAGTTGCTATAATAAACTGAAAGTAAGCAATTTAAACCAAGTTTGGGTTTTAGGGTGCGCAACATGAAACATGTTCTAGATAAAGTTGGTGATAGTGAGATAGAGATATGATCAGACCACTTTAAATTGTTATTAATATGGATACCAAGAAACTTTGATACTTGCGAAAAATTATATGCTGAATTATTGATCGTTAAAGAAGTAATATTATTGGATAAACGATTTTTTGTACAAAAAGATATGATTTGGGTCTTATCATTATTGAGGACTAGATTATTTTCACAAAACTATTTCGTTTTCGATAATAGAACAATTGACCAAAGTAACACTGGTAATACGTAAGTTGGCTTTTCTGCGATACCTTCATCATGTTAAATCTTATATTATTTGATATATTAATATATTATATTGTATTTGAGAAACGGACCAAAGTAACACTGGTAATATATAAGTTGGCTAATTTCTGAAAACGGTAGTGGCAATATGATAATCTACCGTTACAATAAAAATGTAATTTAAAAAGCAAAAGCTTAACCAGAATCTGCATAATTTGATAGTTGGTAAAGAGTGCATCAAAATATGTTGCTTGTCATCAATCTATTAAATTTTTATTGAGTTGCTCAAATAAAGCAGTAAGACCTGGTAATTTCGCGATGAAAAGAAATAAATGCTAACACAAAGTATCCACATATATCATACATCTCGTGCTGTAATTTTATTGTTTAACAAATTGGATTCCAAAACAAAACTGTTTAAATTAGATGTAGATACCATATAAAATTTCATGCCATGTCGCCAATCAAAGATAATATACTTATTGTATATAAAATGTATTAATACATTTTATACAATTGTGCACAATATATCCTAATTATAATATTTTAGTGCAACACGCCTAGTCTGTATGTAGAGCTCGCCAAATTTGCATGTACTAATATAAAAAATATTAAGTTGTAGGTCGAGTGCGTGTTTTTGTTCATAAAGTTGATTTTTTTAAAGTTGCGAATAATTCTATTATCAATTTTAGTATTTTTTTCATGGATCAAATAAAGTATATTATATACAAACTACGACTTTTGAGCACAACTGGTACAGCCTGAGTAGTTCATGAAAATGTTATAAACTTATTAAAGGAATTATATTCCCAGATATATATTCTTTACCATTTCTTGCAGTTTGTTAAGTTTCATTGATACCCATCTATATAAGCAAAGGTCGCTTTCAAGCACTTTTTTTTTAGATATTTATATTCATCCATATAAGAAATAACTATAAGTCTTTTTTATTCAAATCAATTCATTAAGTTTAAAAATGTAATTTGTTTTAAAATAATAATTCATCTAAATGTGCACTGACGTGTTCAAAATAGAATACATTTCATCGAGATATGCAACACATATCAAATATTAACATTGTTCAATGCAAATACAAAACTCAAATTCACTTTCAATACGTATGTGAGGGACATTGATTGTGTTTGCCTGAACTGAGTAAAGGGATGTCAGAACTGTGAAAGAATTCACAAATGTGGTTGGCCTTAAGATGATGATGCAGTTATAAAACACATTGTGAAGAGAATATTTTAGTCAAGTATTTCATTTCATTTATCTTGAAAATGACTTGCACGCGTTAATTAGAGTACCGAATGTAAGTGAACTCAAAGATTTTGCTAAAGCGACTAATACGGAAAATACCACCGCAATACACTTCATTTGGCTATAATTTATGAAAAAAAAAATATTTCTTTTATTTTTTATTTTAATTTATTTATTTATATTATAAGTTTAGCAAACAACTTGATTTCAACTACGGAGGAATTTAAATTATAATAATATTGTAGTACATAGTAGAACACATTAACCTTTTTATTCATATCATATACATATTTAAATGCACATAGATGCATATATGATATGAATGTACATTTATATATGTAAGTTCTAACAATCGGGCGTTACATCAATTAAACTTTTATTGACGTAACGCCCGATCGTTAAAACCCAGTTCATTATATATAAAAGATATGCAACATATATAAAATAATATATATATATATATATATATATATATATATATATTATATATAAATATCTATACATATATTGTAAAAACCAAACCTATTATAGCATAAGAAATTACAAATACCAAACAACTATCTGACTATGTTCAGTAAAACTCCCAGCTAATTCATCATTCTAAAAGTATGTTTTATGCTGTTTTTCAAATATTTGCCACCTGGGAATCACCCATAGACTAGATAAAAAGGACAGCCATAGGTCGAACAGATAAAATATCTTACTTTTAATTTTAAAGGGATTCACGAAATAATAGCTACCTTTAAGACCCGCTCTACCCTATATAATTCAAGATTTTATAAAGTAATTGTTGTAACACTTTATTACATTGTTTCTTGTTCTGCCAGTTATCTATCTATGCACCATTTCATAAAATCATAAAAATGCACATTCTGACCAAATCTAACTTTTTAGGACAAATCTAACCAATGGAAACTTTTGATAATCATAAAAAAAAGATTATGCAAAAAAATTTTTTTTTAATCGGTTTACTGGTCTTATGAGTAAATACATTAGCGAACTTTGGATTACTTTACTATGAATAATAATTATGAATTTACCATTTCAGTTTTATATACGAAATGTTTATTCGTGTGATCGCAAAATATAAGAAGTGCCTACAGGTTTTAGTGACTTGTTTTGTATAGGTTGCCAACTAATTTGTAAGTATAGGTTATAAGGATACACATAGAGTCATTATCTTCAGTAATAACATCAATATAATACAAGCGACAATAACATGCTACTAGGCGGATAGTATTAATATTATATAGGTCAGATATAAGTCATAAATCGGATTCAAGGTTGGATCTTAAGGCGTCAGTCAGACAAGTTCAATGTCAACTAAGATGATTGATATGGACGAGCTTTGCACTATAATAATAGCGCTTATAATGCATTTAAACTAGAGCAGCGCGTTGATGAAACTCTTGATTTGCCGAATCAATAGTTATTTTGAGCATTTGGTTTTATCAACACTTTTTTTGCATTTCATGTAAATTTCTTATTGCACAGGTCAAATGCTGCAGAAAAATTTTATACCTAGATATCGCTTCATTGCAATAATATAAATAAGTCAAAATGGTATTTTCCATTTTAACACTTAATGGTCGGGTCAAATCTGTTCTGTCTAACCTGGCTTCCTGGCATTTTTTAAAGGATACGATAAATTTTAAAGGTACAGATAAAGAACTAGAGCAAAACTATATAAACACGCTAAACGCCACGATATCAGATTTTTGTAACTTGATTAGATAATTAGTTAAATATGTATCATAATAAAAATTAAATGTAAAAATGTGAAAGAAAACTTAATACATCTAAAAAATATTTTTTTGACAAAATTCCTGGAAAATCACTTTTTTGTGTTACACATATATGACTGACATGGCCCTATATTGAAACATTTTTTGTCGACAATCCGTGTCTTGAATGTCTGACGCATTTTTAGACCTTTCGATACATACTGCAAGTGTATCTCATGTAGCCTTATACCAAATTGCATAGGTTAGACATTGTCTGATATGGCTCATTAGGAACTTCTTAGCATCAGACACATATGACTGACATGGCGATTAACGTGTTAAATCAATTATATTAATTGTAGTATTTCATAAAACTATTTGTGTTTCTATAAGTGTTTCTATATTTCTTTTAATATATTATAATAGGTTAGTATTTACTAAAGCATTTAGTATTTTGTAAAATGCATCTTGTCTTAAGGTGCCTATTCATCTCTATTTAATTTATTATCTTTAAAATTGCTTTTTGAAGAGGATAACGTACGTGTAATTTTGTCCTGGGATATAAAAATTCACTGTTATCATTTGAAACATCAAAGTTCTCAATCTCAACATCATTTGTGGATATGTTTTATAAAAAATCTTAGCTGTTTGCCATTTTTACCGTTTTAAAATTACCTATAATTACTTCTTAAAATTAATACTACGCCGTAAGAACAACAAATATATAGAACTATAAATAAAAATTTCAAGAAAAAATAATAGTGTGCAT